TTTTCAAAAGCTGAAGAAAGAAAAACTATTTTCTTTAAATGGCAAAATTGGATATACATCATTTTGCATCTAAGTTATTTATGTACATACGCATGTACATATATCTTTGTTACTATTTTTAATATCCCAGTCTTTCTAGTTACCACCAAGGGATTAATATCTACATGACTCGGGTCAATTCCAATATTTCTCAGGGGCAGAAATTACAAGTATAATTACAAGTTAACCTCTTCAAAGAATGTCAAAAGATTTGTAAGGCAAGATTTTCCCTTAATGAAATCATGCTGCCTATCAATAAAATTTCAAACTTTGTTAAATAACTTTGCAAAGCATCATTTATTAGAATTACAAAAACTTTTCCCATGACTGATGTATGTTTAATAGGCAAATAATTAGTGGGGTAATTTTTATCACCTTCCTTGAAAACAGGAGTAATATTAGTGAATTTCCAAACTTCTGGTACCTGTTCACTATTCAAGGACTCAGAAAAAATAATAGCAAGTGGTTAACACATCCAATCCTTAACCTCCTTCAAAACTCTTGGGTAAATATTATCTGACTCAGGAATTTTATCATTTTTTAAACTTTCTAGTTTTTTCTTAACACACTCAGAACTAATTAATGCTATAATCTTGTTTCCATCTAGCAACTATTCAGAATGAGGAATATTGCTTAAATCTTCATTAGTAAAAATTGAAGAAAAAGTAAAATTTTATAACCCAACCATCCCATAATCATCAGATATTAGCCTTCCTGTATCACCCCTCAAAAGTTCTACTCCAATCATAACATTTTGCTTACTTAAAGAAATCTTAGCTATTAATTTTTTACATTTTTCTGCCAACATTTTTATATAGTGTTTGATTTCCTAATTTCCCCATTTGACCAACTCTCTTGATCTTCTGTAGTCCTCCACATCTGTCATCATTGTAGTCATTGAAACTTCTTATATTTATGATGTTTTCATTAATTTTATAATTCATGCCCTTTGTGATCTAATGTGGACTTTTATTTGAAGCCACATTTGTTTTTCTATAAGGAACATGCCTATCATGAATATTCTAGAATTTAATTGTAAAAAAAATCCAAATTTAATCGATATTTCCAATTAATTCACTTGCCCAATTCACAGCAGATAATTCTTTTTAGTAGAAACTTGTTACCAAAATATCATAATTCCTTATCTCCATATGCAACAAAACATCAAACCTAATACAGCACCCAGATGTTCCCCAATTTCTGCACTCTCAACCATTTCTATATTAGAAGTTAACGATAAATTTAGAATAGCATTGTTCCTAGTAGGTTCCCTAACCAATTATTGAAGATAACCATATGGAACAGTTTCTAAAAACCTGTATCTCATGACTTGACTCTAACATTTTCCAACCTGTATGAGTGAAATGAAAAATCTCCCATAATTATAACCTCATTAACATTTGAATTCTTTATCTCACTGTAGAGTTTCTCATTAGCTTCATCAGTTTCATCTGGTGGTCTGTAACAAATTCCAACTAAAAACCTGTATCTCATGACTTGACTCTAACATTTTCCAACCTGTATGAGTGAAATGAAAAATCTCCCATAGTTATAACCGCATTAACAGTTGAATTCTTTATCTCACTATAGAGTTTTTCATTAGCTTCATCAGTTTCATCTGGTGGTCTGTAACAAATTCCAACTAAAAACCTTCTTCCCTTATAACCACTAACAGAAACCCAAATAGATTCAATCTCATTGCTACTAGCTTTGATATCACCAGCTGTAACTCATATTTTACATATAAAGCCACTCCTCCCCCTATATCCATATTAAATAACCTATAACCCTGTATTTCAAAGAAATTCCTGTCATGAAAATTGTCTGCATTTAACCATGTTTTAGTTATTCCCATTATATCAAAATCCTCTCTTCCAACCATTATTCTGAAGTCAGTCATTTTATAGTTTAGCCTACCATTAAAACTACTTTTGCACTATACTATTCTCTACATCTCATTTTTAATTCATTATTCTGGTCCTCATCCACTGTCTAGTCCTAGTTTAAAGTTATCCTTACAGTCAGGCCATACTATTGCATGTAAGCCAACCATTCCAAAAGGAGCTTCTTTTTCAAATAGAAATGATCTCACAAATCCATCCAGTCAACCTTCACATCCTTCTGTATTAACCTACTAAGCCTAGCATTCAGCCATAGTGACCTCATTGTAATTTTATCTCCACAGTTCAGTCTTGGCAGTATCCTTGACAGAATTAAGTTATTGTGGCCCTTTTCTTTATCACTGACTTGTACTTATCAATTAATTCCTGATCTCCCCTTCCCTACATCAGTAGTCCCTATGTCCACTACAAAGACTGCATCACCCTAGCATTTTATATCTCTGTCAGTTATATACTCCAATCATACCCCTGGATAGCATAATTTAATTCTTGTATCTCTATTTACCACACAGACTATCCTGTTCATGTCCCATACTAAAGAATCAGATTATATATGGTTAGTATTAGAATAATTTTAATTTATTTTATTTTGCATTCATTTAGATAAATAATCATTTAAATAATTGCTTTAAATTTCACAGTATTGATCTGTACACACTGTTTTACTTATTGTGATTATGTCTTTTTTTCAATGTAACAAGAGATAGAGACATATGTATTATTTGTTTCAAATAAAGTGTACTGAGAATCAGACTAAACAATTTTATGAATGATGAAATTATCATGCTTTTTGCTATGACACTGAATTAGTTGTGAACAAAAATATAACAATACACGTATAACAAAAAGTGGAATCCAAAGACTGTTGATATATAAGATGGTTCCTAACTGGTTTATCCAGTAATACACTTGTGAGAAAAGTTAAAATTTAACAAAAGTCAAAAATATCAAAAACAATAAGGATAACAATGCTCTTGAATCATTATAAGATTTTTTTTTATGACATTACATACTTATAATTAGACTGGTATATTATATACTGGGATAATTTTAAATTTTGGTCTTTGTAAGTATACCTTCCAGTAGAAATAAGTCTGAAGGCTTATAATGCTAAGCACTGGATTTTGATACCTGTGGTGAGCACAGCACAGATAGCACATTGCGTAGCTTTGTGCTTAACTACAAACATTCTAAGTAGATTACATTGATCAGAGGTTATTCCTAAAATATAGTAAGATGTAGATTATGTGAAATGATAATCCATACATTGTATATAACACCAACTTTTACAAAGTGAAATATCTTAAACTTTTGTTTATTCTTTTCGTAAAGGGAGATGAAAGTGTGTCAACTCAAGGTGGAAGTGGCCGCAGCTCTGTAGATCTCCTACCAGAGGAACTCCAATCTTTAGTAAGCAAAATACACTCTTGAAAGAAAGAAAAAAATAATATATATATAAATTGTAACTGGAGAATAAAAAATAGTTACTTCATACCTTGTTCGTGTAGGTTTTTAGAAAACCGCATGCTTACACTATACAATCTATCCACCATGTAAAAGGAAATAGCTGTGTTTTAACTGTTGAATCAACATTTAAAGAAGGATTCCATTTCATATGTCAGAATATTTATTTTTTTCAGCTACTGATTTCTTTATCAAATTAAACATACAATGAAACAACAACAAGAAAAATATATAATGATGTCTTTCTAGGTAAATGAATTGTGTTACATGATGTATGTTTCTAGGTAAATGAATTGTGTTTCATGTTGTACATTTCTAGGTAAATGAATTGTGTTTCATGTTGTACATTTCTAGGTAAACGAATTCTGTTACATGATGTAT